TTGTAATAATGTGGAATGGCACAGGGAAAAAGTATTGAACATATGAAGAAAGGGAGGTGTAAAAGGCATGGAAACCAATACTTATTTTACTCGCTGTACCTTTTAACAAAGTTCCAAAAAAATCTGTCACTATAGAGCAAATAAACCTCGCTTTTAACTAATCAGAACAATTAAAGTGTTGCATTTATGAACCGATTCTTCTCTGTGTTTACCTTAGCAGCGATATGCTAGGTGAGTTAGCCATTAGCTGAGCAGCGCAAAGCTAAGCTAAGAGCTAACTGTAAAAAAGTCATTAAATCTGTGATTCTTCTTACCARCTGYRTGGTTTAGAACAACATCCTCCTGCTGATGGACACTCGGAGCTTTCATTTCCAGTTTATTCTCTGAAAGCAGACTTTCAGTCTTGYTCTGATGAAGAGACTCCACTTCGTTCATTACGTCCTTAAAAATTCTGGATGCTCGTTTGACATTAACCGGGCCTGAATCGACCAACAACGATCATGTTACACTGCAGCCGAGTTCATTCCTATCACTCTGGATCCACGTATGTATCATGGACCTAAGTAACACTTCATATCATTGTATTTCTACAATCAGTCTCCTTTTTATTCTCTCAAGTGCCGATCTGTTTAAAAACAAATGCATCTCCGCTGTATTTTGATCAGGCATTAACTCGGACACTCTTAGATTTGTTTTTTTCTCTGCTGCCACCTTGTGGAGGAAAGTAGCGCCTACATCCAAAAACTCAAATTTTCATGAATATTTAACTGAAACTGGGTGAAAATACRGTCAAAATCCACTGAAATTGTTTACAAAACGTGATACCGTCAGGTCTAAAACTTGGACCTGAATGGATTCTGAGAAATATCCTTAAAAAGCAAAATATTCTCAGTTAAAGATGATATTTGCCCCCTGCCTTTTTGAGTTTTAAAKAATAAKCTGTAAATTTCRGCAWGYTATWGCTGTTTTTGTGTTTGTTAAGGTTKATAAGATGTGGCGGCCAACTTGATTGAGAYTGACTCCAAAAGGTAAAGAGTTATTGATGTGCATTCAATGATTACATTGTTTCAGGAGATATTTTGCTGATAGTGATGATTGCAACAATTAATGCTAAAGTTTTAAGCAGATATGCCTAGTGCTCAAAGGTATGTGTTGAAATGACTCTCAGGTATTACAGTGAAGGTAAGATTTAATCTAGTCACACAACTTAACTACAGTATGTATTTCTAGTGAATAAACATGCTGGTCTAATTCAACTAACTTCATGGAAACATGACAGAATTTTTGTTTAATTAATTTCTAGAGAAATTCACAAGCTACAGCAGCAACAAGATTACACAAACAATTCTGTAAATTAAGTAAATAAAACTGAATAAAAAGAGCAAGAGTACGGTACATTAAAAAACGATGGGCTGTTTGGTGCTGAAGCTTCGGCACATGTACACACGTGGACAAAATTGTTGGTGCCCCTTGATTAATGAAAGAAAAACCCACAATGGTCACAGAAATAACTAGAATCTAATCAAAATCCTATGAAAATGAACAAATG